GCTTTACAACGGCGGGAAGGCAATATGCATTCGGTAGAAAGCACACGTCCGATTCTAACTTCTTGTTTTTTCCCAGGTCAGCGCCATGCCATACGATGCTCTCTGGTGGTGCTTAGCCATGTGACCACGAGGGTGAACAACCAATATTCTGACAACCATTCTGTGCCCAAATGACCATTATTCTGTTTTCGACTTTTAGCACAGTGTTCAACAAATGACATGAGGTAGTCAGCACTTTATTATAAAGTAGGCTTTGTGTTAGATGATCTTACCCAGCTGTAGGCTAATGTAAGTGTTCTGAGCACGTGTAAAGTAGGCAAGGCTAAGCTATGCTGTCCAGTGCATTTTTGACTTACCATATTATCTTTTTTAAAATTTATTTTGAGAGAGAGAGAGAGATTGGGAGACAGAGAGTCCCAAGCAGGCTCCATACTCCCAGCGCAGAGCCTGATGCGGGGCTCGATGTCACGAACCATGAGATCACGACCCAAGCCAAAATCAAGAGTCAGATGCTTAACTGACCAAGACACCCAGGTTACCCTCAACTTATGTTTTCAACTCATGATGGGTTTATCTGGATGTAACACCACTAAAAGTCATGGAAGATGTGCCAGGCAGAGCGTTGAGAGCTTTAAATGCAATACTTAATTTTATTTCCTGCTGACCTTATAATATCGATACTACAATTACTACCCCCATTTTACAGATGGGAAAACTGAGGTGCAGATAGGTTAAGCAAGGAAGTAGGAAGTACTGGAGGTCAAATGAAACCAGGTTCACTGCAACCTAACACCCCCTTTTTCTCTTGGGGAAAGCTTACATGCCAGAGGTCAGCAGAGAAAAGAAGGCAAGGCCCTGTTGTCCCCTTGTCCCTATGCAGTGTTATGCTAGGGACAGGGCACTAGGAGTCCACATTCCAGGGGAAGGGAATTCCTTCTATTGCTCTGTCTTCACGTAGGCAAAGCCTGAGAGTAAGCTTATCGGTGAAGAGAGACGCAGGCTGCCTGGATGCCAGACAGGGGGGAGGGGACTTCTACTCTCTGCTGTTGTTATGGGAAATTTCCAACATATACAAAAGTGGAGGGAAAACTGTGATGAACTCAATGTCCAAGAATGCTTTTGGTCTAAACTCTGTCCCACAGGGAAGGCTTTCCTGGAAGAAATGAGAGGAGCTCCAGAAAGTCCTGCCTTCTCCATGGTGGGCGGGAATGGATAGGGAGGGCTGTGGAGGGGCGGTGGGGGGGGGGGGGCGGGGGGGGCTGGGCTGACCCCTGGAGAGGGGCTCAATAGAGAAGGGGAAGGCCTGCAGCCCACTCACAGCTGTCTCTACAGACCACCCCAGCCACGGAGCTGGGGACGACCTGAAGGTTAGAGCTCCTCCCATTTGTTTTTTAACTTGAGATATAATGTGCATGCCATAGAATTCACCATTTAAAAATGTACAGTTCAAGGGCCACTGGGTGGCTCAGTCGGTTAAACGTCTGACTTCAGCCCTGGTGATGATCTCACGGTTTGTGGGTTTGAGCCCTGCGTTCAGCTCTGTGCTGACAGCTCAGACCCCGGAGCCTGTTTTGGATTCTGTGTCTGCCTCTCTCTCTGCCCCTCCCCTACTCATGCTCTGTCTCTCCCTCTCTCAAATATAAATAAACACACAAAAAAAATAAGAATGTACAGTTCAGTGGTTTTGAGTATATTCACAGAGATGTGCAACCAACACCCCCATCTAATTCCAGTACATTTTCATCACCCTGTAAAGCAACCCTGTATTTATCAGCAAAATTCCCATATTCCCCTCTTTCTTCAGCCCCCAGCAACCACTAATTTACTTTCTATTTTCAGGGATTCTGGATTTTTCATATATGTGGAGTCAGGCAATACGTGGCCTTTTATGTCTGGCTTCTTTCACTTAGTATAATATTTTCAAGGTCCATTGATGTCATAGCACATACCAGCACTCCAATCCTTTCATGACTAATCTTCCATCAAATAGATATACCACCTTTGGTTTATCCAATCATCCATTCATGGACCTTTGAGATGTTTCCACTTTGTAGCTATCATGAATAACATTGCTATGAACATTTGTATACAAGTTTTTATGAGGACATGTTTTTATCTCTCTTGATCATATATCTAAAGGAAGTATTTCTAGGTCATACAGGAACTCCGTGTTTAAGTTCTTAAGAAACTGCTGAACTATTTTCCACGATGGCTGTAGCATTTATTTCCACCAGCAGTATAAGAGAATTCCCATTTTCTGCATCTTCATTAATATTTATTTTCCTTTTTGAAAATTATAGCTGTCCTAATGGCTGAGGAATGGTATCTCACTATGGTTTTGATTTGTATTTCCCTGATGACTAATGATGTTGAGCAGCTTTTCATGTGTTTGTTGGCCATTTGTATATTTTCTTTGAAGAAGTATCTGTTTGGATCCTTTGCCTGCTTTTCAACTGGTTTGTCTTTTTGTTGTTGAGTGGCAAGGGTTTTTTTAAGAAATATTTTTGATGCTGTACCCTGATCAGATATATGATTTGCAAATATTTTCTCCCATTCAGCGGATTGTCTTTTCACTTTCTCGTAAGTGTCTTTTGAAGCACAAACATTTTAAAATTTTAATGAAGCTCAATTTATCTATGTTTTTCCTTTGGTTGCTTGTGCTTTTGGTGTTATACCTAAGAAACTGTTGCCTAATCCAAGGTCATAAAGAATTATGCATGTGTTTCCTTCTAAGGGTTTCATAGATTGGCCTTTATATTTAAGTCTTGGTCTATTTGGAATTGGTTTTTGTAGATGGTGAGAGGTGTGAAGCTTCTTTTGAGTTATTCTTCAACACCTGCTGCCAGGGAAGCTCCTAATTTTAATTACCAGGCTCAGTACAGAGGCAGCAGGCCCCAAACATTTCCATCTGGGTAGCACTGGATAGTTTAAACTACATTCTCTTATGTGATCTAATAATCAAGTCAGATAATTACCCAATTTTATTTTGTTTTTTTTTTTTAAATGTTTATTTTATTTTTGAGAGAGAGGGAGAGCGAGAGCAAGTAGGGGAGGGATAGAGGCAGAGAATCCCAAGCAGGCTCTGTGCTGCCAGCACAGAGCCCGATGCAGGGCTCGAACCCACAAACCGTGAGATCATGACTGGAGCCAAAGTTGGATGCTTAACTGAGTGGGCCGCCCAGGTGCCCCTCCCCAATTTTAGGTGTAAGAATACAGACTTGGAGAAGGTGAGTGAGTTGCTTAAAATCATGTAGGAACCCGAAAGGCAGAGTCAGAATTTGGTACTAGAGGAGATAACCCTGGAAGAGGGGAGAGGGGCGATGGAAATCCTGGGTCATGGTCTCAGTTCTTCTGTTTGTGTTTGTATGAACTTGTACAAGTCAGGTACCTGTTGGGGTCTCAACTGCATCATGGGTGGGCAAGGGAGTTGATCTTGGGTAATTACAATAATACTTTAATGAGCACCTACCACATTCCAGGCTCTGTGCAGGCCGCTTTAAGTATACCACCTCTAATCTTTCCAATAACCTTACTAGGCAGGCAACTCTTCCTTTCCCAGAAGAGAAAAAGAAAACCGTGCAGTCAGTACCTGAGAACACAGTCTGGAAATGTCAAGGCTGGACAGAGAACCCAGCCTGTTTCCTCTCTGCTACCTACCCTTCCTGAGTCTGTGTGCTTATCTGTAAAGGTTAATTAACGTTCCTTCCTCCTACGATTGCTGTGAGCAATGTGGGCAGAGCCCTTCATTCGTGGGCTGAATCCTTACTGGGCACTTACACGACGCTAAACCCAGCTGTAGGTGAGGATAGAACGGAAAACAAGACAAAATCCCTGCTCTCATGGAGTTGACATTCTAGAAGGGGAAAGGGAAACAGAACAGGGAAAGAAATTCACACACACACATCAGGTAATATCAGACAGCGTTGAGTGCTAACAGAAAACAGCGGGTGGCAGTGGAGTGAAAGCAGCCAGGAAGCCATCAGGTGACTCATGCACAGAGGACTGAATGATCCAAAGGAGGCAGAGAGGGAAATCTGGGGGCAGACTGTCCAAGTAGAGGTTATGGGACTAGGTTAGTGCAAGAAGCTTCTCTGTACTTCCACTACGTGCCAGCAACTGCTTTGGGCAGAGTGTTCAGAAATGAATCCAGTCCAGTGGTCCAAGTGCTCGCTGTGAGGGAGGAGACAACACAGAGCAGATTATTTCTTGGCCGATGAATGGGTGCATCTAATTACGAGGTGAAACATTAATTAAAAAATTTTTTTTTTAAGTTTTATTTATTTTTTTAGAAATTTTTAAATTTTATTTATTTTTGAGAGAGAGAGAGAGAGAGAGAGAGAGAGAGAGAGAGAGAAAGAGTGCAAGCAAGTGGGGAGGGGCAGCAAGAGAGGGAGACAGAGAATCCGAAGCAGGCTCCAGGCTCTGAGCTGTCAGCACAGAGCCCGGTGCGGGGCTTGAACCCATGAACTGTGAGATCATGACCTGAGCTGAAGTCGGACGCTTAACTGACTGAGCCACCCAGGTGCCCCTTAAGTTTTATTTATTTATTAAGAAAGAGAGAGAGAGAGGGAGAGAGAGAGAGAGAGAGAGACAGAGAGACAGAGAAAGCAGGGAAGGGGCAGAGAGAGGGAGAGGGAGAGATAGAGAATCCCAAGCAGGCAGGCTCCAAGTCCGATGCAGGGCTCAAACTCATGAACCCTGGGATCGTGACCCAAGCCGAAATCAAGAGTAGGACGTCTAACCGACTGAGTCACCCAGGTGCCTCTGAAACATTAATTTTACCCATGTTTTTGCAAACGTGTCCTGCAGGCGCGGAGACCTCACTGTAAGAGATCACCAACGTGACCAGGTTAGGGCTCCCTGTTAATTTTCCTTCACAGCCACTGGGCCCCTGTGGTTTCGATCCCCCCTCCAGGCACCAGGGTGCGCTGTATCTTCTCTTGGTGCCGGCTGACGACGACGCCGCGCTCTCCCCACTTCTTGCTGAGCCGCACTTCCGGCGGCAAGCGGAAGCGGGGACTCGCAGCCGCCGGAGCCGGAGGCATGGCGGGGGCGGGGCTGGGGGAGGCGCGTGCCGAGCAGGCCGGGGGGTCCGTCTCCCCGGCCCTTTGAACCCGGAGCGTACAGGTGAGGACCTCTCCTTTCTTGGCCCAGCCCCCAAGCCCGTCAGGCCCTTCCCGAGGCCTCCCCGGCTTCCCGCCGCGGGGCGGCCCCCTCCCTGCCAGACGCCGAGGCTCCGCGGCCCCCGCCCTCCCTGAGCGGTCTCTTCCCATTGAGGCCCCGCCCCGGCCTTCTCTTTCCGGGGGCGCCCCCTTGGGTGTGTGTGCCCGCCCCTCGGTATCCCCTTACCGTTTTTGGAAGCTGTCACGAGGAATTGGGGGGGGGGTGCACCGGCCCCCGTGGGGAAGCCGAGACGCAGCGGAGGAAAAGGACAGGTCTAGTGCCACTCGACGAGCTAGTGGCCCGATCCAGCCAGGCTTTCTTCTCGTTCCATAAAAAACGTGCCGAACGCACACGAGAGGCCAGCCCCATCGCTAGGCTCTGAGAAAACTTCGGTGACTGGTGTGGACGTGGTTGCTTCCTATCCCGGGGGTACCGTTTAGTGGGGGGAGTAAATTATTAAACGCACAACCCTGCAAGTACAAGTGCGTGTTCAAGTCGTGGCCGTTACTGTGGAGAAGACAAAAAATAAACGGGGAGCCCTGTGTTGGAGAGAATGGTCAGGGAAGACTTCCTGGAGGAGATGACAGGCTGCAACTTGAGAAGTTATGGCAAGGGCCTGGGGAAAGACGTTCTAGGCAGAGGGAACAGCACCTGTGGATACCTGAGTTGGCAAAGAGCTTGGCGTGAGGCAGGTCCAACGTGCAGGAGATGAAGCTTGAGAGGTGTCACGTAGTGTGATCGGCGTGCAGAACACCCACCACCTAGTGACACAGATAGGAGTAAAATGCAGGGACAGAGTTGCAAGCGTGGTAAGTGCCGTGAAGGAGAGGTGTGGCCAGTAAGTTAGTGTTTTAGCTAATCGGGAGTCGAAGGAAGACTCCTCTGAGGAAGTGATTATGAGGCTGATGGCTGAATTGGGAGTTAACTCAGCAAAGGGAGGAGGAGAGCTTTTTTAGGTTTGGTTAACAGCAGGTGCCAAGCTTCCGAGACAGGAGGTAGGGTCCCTCTTGAAGAAAATAAATGGTTAGAGTTAACGGGAAAAGATGAGGCCGGAGAGGCAGAGCTGAGACCTTTGAGCACCTGGTTGGCATGTTGAGGGTTTGATTCTTCTCTTTAAGAGCAAGTGGGGAGATACTGACCTGTATTAGTCCACAGGGGAAAGGACGCGGTCACCAAAGCATTTTGGAAAGGTCACTCTGGCTGTTGAAAGGAGTGGATTTAGGTAGGAAGCTGGTGCAGTAACGCAGACGTGAAAGTGTAGAAGTTCGGAGAAGGGTGCCGGCAGCTTGTGATAGGACTAAGTGGAAGATTAGAGAGGACTGTTTAGAGGGTAAAGTCTCCAGAGTTTGGGGACTGATCAGGGGGCCGAGGGAAAGAGGGATCAAGGAAGACTGTCAGGTTTCTGGTTCCTGCTAGCTGGAGAGTTGCTAGGCCATTCATTCACTGGCCTAAGGGAGCTGGGAGAGGGCCAGATTTTAGGACACTCGTAAGTTCCTCTCTTTTTTCGTAAGTCTCACCCTGACTAGAGGGGACTTTCATTACATACTTTTTCTATAGTGTTTGAATTTTTATGAGCGTGTACTTTTATAATCAGAACAGTGAGAGAACAAATTGAAAAAGCCTTGAAAAACTCCATGTCTCTCAAAATCACAATTGTGTGATATAAAATTGTGTGTACCTACAGAGAGGGAGAGAGAGAGAGCACACACGCTGAGGGAAGGAAATTCAGTGACGATTTCCTGTACGATTTGGAGCTGAAGCCAACAGGTCGTCAGCTCCACTCACCCCACCCCTTCACACCCATCACCCCAGTTACTGGTGTCTTTCTCTTAAAAAGACAAATCAGAGAGGGGCGCCTGGGTCGCTCAGTCAAGCATCTGACTTGGGCTGAGGTCATGATCTCGTGGTTTGTGAGTTCAAGCCCCACATCGGGCTGTCTGCTGTCAGCATGGAGTCTGCTTTGGATCCTCTGTCCCCCTCTCTCTCTGCCTGTACCCCACTCGTTCTCTCTCAAAAAAAAAATATATATATATATATTATAAAAGACAAATCAGAATTTCAGATGGGACTATGCAAAGTGTATCCCAATTTTCTTAGAATTAAGCATCTGTTTTGCTTAATATGATCAGTGACTCTTTCTTAGCTGAGCAACTCTAGTATGCACTTTATCCGACTCAGCAGTTCGTCTGTTAGATAGTGTCTGGTCCCTATTCCTCCTGCTCCTGGGCCTCGTCTGCCTTTCTCATCCCGGTCTGGTCTCCCTCTGACTCCAACCCAGTCTTAGGTTGGCAGGATTGCCCTCGGCAGGGATTGAGTGAGGCAGTTTTGTATGCTGTTTGGTATTTTAAAATGCTTCAACCGTAATACTGTGTTTTTAAGGCTGAATCAGAGTAGCCACATTTATAATGTTACTGTTACAAGGAGTAGCTGTGTGTGACTTAATACCGTGTTGTTGTCAGCTGTGGAGGATTTTGCTTACCTGATCATGCCAAGGGTCTTTGAGAAAACTTATGAGATTGCTTTTAAACTCCCACCGTTTCTTCCAAGCATCTGTTACTAAGTTTGTATCTTATTGGCCGTGCACATTCTGTAACTGATTGTGTTTTCCTTTTTGCTCTGGCTGCTGAGAAAATCAGGGCCAAATGAGACGGTTGGCAGTGCTGCAGGTCCGTGTGGTGTGCCTTTCTGCGTACGTCTGGCTTCGTCTTCTTGTCCTACCTTAGTTTTCTCTTCACAATTATTTTCTGATTAAAAATTCTGAGTACAAGTAATACTTTGAATATATGTAATCTTTAAAGAATGACAGTACAGTGAGTGCTGATTTAGGAAAAAAATGTAACCTTGGAGTTGCCAGTGTGTCCCAACCTGTATCCAGTTTCTTACTTTTCTCAGGTAACCACTGTTCTAATTTTATAATACCTTTGCTTTTGATATTTGTGTTCCATATCTATTGATGGCTTTTATTTATTTATTTATTTATAAATTTTTTTATATCAGACAAAATAGAGTTTATTTTTATTTTTTTTCAATATGTGAAGTTTATTGTCAAATTGTTTTCCATACAACACCCAGTGCTCATCCCAAAAGGTGCCCTCCTCAATACCCATCTTTAAATTTTTTTTTTAATGTTTATTTTATTTTTGAGACAGAGAGAGAACATGAATGGGGGAGGGCAGAGAGAGAGGGAGACACAGAATCGGAAGCAGGCTCCAGGCTCTGAGCCATCAGCCTAGAGCCTGACACGGGGCTTGAACTCACGGACTGTGAGATCGTGACCTGAGCTGAAGTCGGACGCTTACCTGACTGAGCCACCCAGGCGCCCCTATTGATGGCTTTTAAACTAGAAATTGAAGCTTATGTAAAGAGAAACACACGAAATACTCTGCTGCTTGCTGTTTTCATTCATCATTGTGTTCTGAGATTCATTTAGGTTGTTATGTGTAGCTAACATTAATTAGCTAAGCATTAATTTATTGCTTCATGAGATTCCACTGCATGAATAGGCCTGGAAGAATTTATCTAGTCTTCTGTTGCTGGGCATTTGGAGTGTCATCAGTTCGTGCTATTTCTAACGGTCCTGCTGCAGACATTCTTGTTATTTACGTGCAGATATTTCTCTAGATCAGGGTTTCTCATCCTTAGCACTATTGACCTCTTGGTCCAAATGTGGGGGGCTGGCCTGTTTACTTGGCAGCATCCCTGGCTTCTGTTTGGTGGACACTCATAACACCCCTCCTTCCCAAGTTAGGACAACCAACCATTGTCTCCAGATGCTCCAGTTGCTCCAGTTAGGAACCAGTGCCCAAGATCAGTGGTTGGCAGACTTTTTCTGCAAGGGGTCAGATAGTAAGTATTTCAGTCTTGTGGGCCCAGTGGTCTTTGGTCTCAACTAATCATCTATGCCTCTGTAGGACAAAAGCAGCCATAGGTAACCTGTAAATAAATGGGTATGGCTGTGTCCCAATAAAATTTCACTTACGAAAACAGGCAGGCAGACTAGATTTGGCCTGAGGGCATTATGCGCTCTCTTGCTGTAATCTAGATCAGTAGGGAATATATTTTATATCCTCACCCAGTGCGTGTAACTCATATGTATAATTGAAACAAAAGTTTCATGAAATAGTACTTGCCCTTACTGTATGTGATACAGTTCGGTGTTTTCTGTTTTTGTTCCACTTTTTAAAATGTCTGGTATATCCACTAAATTTATTTCAAAGCCTCATCAATGAGTTGTGACTAACAGTTTGAGAAATCTAGTTTGCTCAGTCATAGAGATATGCACATCTTTCACTGGACCAGATAGTATCTATACTTATGTACAGCATTTCAGATCCCTTTTAGAAGGAGGCAGGGTATAAATAAATACCACACTGTGTATATGTTTTTATTTCTAAAATATAGATTAGGTTAGTCACTCCTGGTTAAAACCCACAATAGCTGGTGTGGCATTGGTGTGGCCTGGCGTGACGTGTGAAGTGTTTTCTAGTCTGCCTCCAGTCTGCTTTTCTAAGCTTCTCTTTTATTACTCTGTGCTTCCTGGGCTCTAATCACTTGGAATCTCTATTCTCAAATGTATCACGCCTCTCTCCTTCCAAGTGTATTTCCTCCAAGTGAACGCTCCTCTTTTTCTTTGCCTTGTGAATTCTTTACCCTGCAGGGCCCATTTAGAATGTTGTTCCATGCATTCATTTAACCTACTTGTGAGCACTTGCTGTGCCTCGGGTTCTGCCCCAGGTGGTGGTGGGGATTCAGCAAGGAATTGGGCAGGGTACCTGGGGTCTTGTGTGTGGTGACAGATACTAAAAAGGTAAACAAGATAATTTAAAAAGTGAGAAGGGCTGAAGAAAACAAAATAGGGTGGAATGACAGTTGGTGTGGATGGGAAGGTAGGGAGAATCTGAGAAGTTGCTGTTTTAGCTGAGATTTGAATGGTGACACAGAGGCAGCTCAGCGCTTCAGAAACTTTCTGCTTCCTTCCGGCTTCCACAGTTTCCCAAGGAATCCACAGATGATTGCATTGTTCCCCTCCAGACAATATATCATTTATCTGGTTGCTTGCAAGATTTCTACTTTGTGTTTCCGTTTTTAAGTTTGACTGTGATGGGTCTGGGCATAGATTTCTTTGTGTTTATCATGCTTGGGGTTCTCTGAACTTCTGAATCTTGAGTTTACATCTGTGAGGGTTTGCTTTCGGATTCTCTATTGTATTCCATTGGTGTATTTGTCTGTCTTTATGCTGGTACCACACTTAAAAAAAAATTACTTTGGCCTTGTAATATGTTTTGAAATCAGGAAGTCTGAGTCTTCCAACTTTGTTCTTTCACAAAATTGTTTTGGGTGTTTGGGGTGCCTTGAGATCACTTGTGCATTTTAGGATGAATTTTTCTATTTTTGCAAAAAACGCCATTGGGATTTTGATAGGGATGCATTGTGTTTATACATTGCTTTGGGTAGTATGGACATCTTAACAGCCCAGTAAATAGATTTCTTTAATGGAATGTGCACTGAACGTTGCTGTTAACACTGAACAACTCTGATGTAGTTCTAGGTTTATTCTCTTGAATATTCCCAACATCTAAGTGTGCTTTGCAGGTGTTCCTAGTGAATCAGGTCCTTCCCTCAAACCTGTTTTTAGACTCAGAAATGTCAGGACCACTTTCTCACTCTAATCTGAGAAGGAGAACTGCTGATCACTGTCATCTTGGGAGTTCCTGGGTCCAGGGTATAAGGAGGGAAAGCTTTGACTTTCCATCCTTCTATACTTTCTATACCTTTCTATATTTGTATTTCGGCCAATTTTGTTTTGTTTTCGTGACTTCTTCACTTTTCCGTGCAGAGATGTGATAATGGATCATCATGTTTCCACCATCAAACCTCGAAGGATCCAGAACCAAAATGTCATTCACCGCCTGGAACGCCGACGGATCAGCTCGGGCAAGGCAGGCACCCACTGGCATCAGGTCCGAGTATTCCACCAGAATGTCTTCCCCAACTTCACGGTCGTCAATGTTGAAAAGCCTCCTTGTTTCTTGCGTAAATTCTCACCTGATGGACGCTACTTTATTGCTTTCTCTTCAGACCAGACGTCTCTCGAGATCTATGAGTACCAGGGCTGCCAGGCAGCCGAGGACCTACTGCAGGGCTATGAGGGGGAGATCCTGTCCAACGGCAATGACCAGCGGTCGGTCAGCATCCGCGGCCGGCTCTTTGAACGCTTCTTCGTCCTGCTGCACATCACCAACGTGGCCGCCAACGGTGAGCACCTGAACCGGGAGTGCAGCCTCTTCACTGACGACTGTCGCTGTGTCATCGTGGGCTCAGCTGCCTACCTCCCGGATGAGCCGCATCCTCCTTTTTACGAGGTGTATCGCAACAGTGAGTCCGTGACCCCCAACCCCCGGTCCCCTCTGGAGGACTATTCCCTCCACATCATTGACCTTCACACCGGCCGCCTATGTGATACGCGCACCTTCAAGTGTGATAAAGTGGTCCTGTCGCACAACCAAGGGCTGTACCTGTACAAAAACATCCTGGCCATCTTGTCAGTGCAGCAGCAGACCATCCACGTCTTCCAGGTGACCCCTGAAGGCACTTTCATTGACGTGAGGACCATCGGCCGCTTCTGCTATGAGGATGACCTCCTCACCGTGTCAGCTGTCTTCCCTGAGGTGCAGCGGGACAGTCAGACGGGCATGGCCAGTCCTTTCCGAGATCCCTTCATCAACTCCCTCAAACACCGGCTGCTGGTGTACTTGTGGCGCCGGGCGGAGCAGGACGGGAGTGCCATGGCCAAGAGGCGCTTCTTCCAGTACTTTGACCAGCTGCGGCAGCTGCGCATGTGGAAAATGCAGCTTCTGGACGAAAACCATCTGTTTATCAAGTACACTAGTGAGGACGTGGTCACCCTGCGGGTCACGGATCCATCACAGGTATGCGGTGCTCTCCTGCTCTTTGCTCCTCCCATCCCCTTGGGAAGATGGGAACATTTCTGTCTTTGCCTGTAGCCAGCCTCTCCGAAATTCGCATTTCATGTAGTCTTGAATTTTTGTTTTCCTAGGCCTCAAGCTCAAAACAACTCCATTTTTCTCTGGCCACGTGTATTCATTTGGACAAATGGAAGCTAAATCTCAAGCCATTGGCATGTGGATAGTCAACTCTGTGATTATTACCCTGATTCTTCTGCAGAGCATTTTCAGTACCCCTGAGATAGAAGCCCAAATGCTACAGGGTTGAAGTTTGGACTGCCTGTGGATAATCCTGCCTTGATTTTGTGAGGCTGTGATTAGTGGTCTGACTGCTTTAGTTCTAGGAATGAGAATGAGCCCACCATACCAGAAACGTTTTCTAAAAATTTAGCCTCTTTCCTGCCCAGATGGTTAATGTCAATATACTTCTTCATAAAGCCTTTAGAAGGTAACTAATAGGTAAGCTCATCTGGCAGTTAAGTTTTATGACTTTACTCTGACCTTGCCCATGCGTAGATTGTAGGGCAGTGAAAAGATTAAAAGGAAGCCAGAGTTTCTTATCCCCCAAGTGAATCATCAGGACTTCAAGTATTAGGGTTTTTCACTTTGGATAAAAGATCTCTTTAGGGGAGATAGCTATTTCTCAGATGGGAATAAAATGGTGTTAAGGGCACAGAAACCTGTAAGACTCTTGGGTTGAAACACCATGTTGAAATTCAGGGTATTTTGGGCATTTCTCTTCGAGAGGCTCTCCTCTTTAGTGTTGATCAAGTAAGATACCTACCTTTCTATACCTTTGCCCCCCTGTTCTATTTCCAGAATCTGTCCTTAGATTCCTATCTAAGGAGAATTGAGAATAGAGAGCAAACCAGTAAACCACAAAGGGGGCTGAGTCTGGTATCTCCCACTGACTTGCAGTTGCTTCTATCATAGGAGAGACTGTACAGGGCATTGTTTCCTGAGACCTTACCAGGCATCCATGGTAAAATGTTTTCCAGTATTTTTCTTCTGAATCATAGCCTGTGTATTCTTCAAGGTGGCGGGGAGGGGGAGCGGTGAGTAATAACGGTTGGATGTTACTTTTTCTGGATTCTTCTTCTTCCCTATTAATGATGAAGTCACCCGTTGAGCCATCACGAAGGAGCATCTAGTGTATCTTATGTGTCATGGGGGGTTGGCAGTGAAGCCCTTGACTTCTGTACCCTTCTGTCTTGTATTTCCCAGTCTGCCCTGGAGGCAAGCCTAGTAAAGGTTTGTGTAATTTTATATTCATATAATTGTGATGGATCCTGGTGAAGTCCTGAAATGATCCAAATGTTGTCCACGTATATAGAAAGGACATGACTCAATCTTTTATTTAGGTTTGAGCTATAATTACCTTTTTTCTTTTGGAAGGACTAAGTCATCTGTGGTAGCTGCATTTGAGATTGTCCTTCTTCCCTTTGCTAAAAAACATGACCTACTTATTTCCAGTAGCTGTAATAAATTGTAGCTAGAATCAGTACTGGAGCTCGGTGTTTTGCTGACAGAGGTTGTAACTTTAAACCCAGTTTGCCCTAGTTGTCCTCCCACCTCCTTCCCCAGTTTAATTTGATAGGTTTCAATAAAGTTAATGAGTAAAAGGCACATGTACACACAAAGCCTTGCTAATATTATGGGTATTATTCTCAGGTTACCCTCCAACCTCTTTAATTTACAGCCGTATTTAATTTCCAGGTGACCGAAAAAGTCATGTAATGAAAGCTCTGGAAGGACTAATGACTAGTAAAACAGGTGGGCCACGTGGCTCCAGGAATTGGTGATGGAGACTTAAAGTCAGTCATAGGAGGGGGAGCACTAATCCTAATGTTCTGAAAACTTCTAGAGTCCTGTTGGAAGCCTGCAGATTGATTCACACTGCCACATTCATTGTGACAAAACGCAGGGATTCCTGGAGCTTCCTTGTTAGGCAGAGCAGAGAGCACTGGTTGTTTAAACGAAGAGGGCCTGTCCCCCAGAGGCCCATTCAGAGAAAGCAGTAACCCTGCCACCTGTGGCATTTGAATGCTTTTCAGATGTCCCCTCTGATCTTAATTGCTACAGATCTCAAATGTGTCTTACAAATGCTCTTGGCTGAAAGAACACTTGTGAAGGAAGAAATGGAAAATGCGACTCTGATTTTCCATTTGTTCAGTGGCAGTTCCCTGCTTGGTGACAACTTGCCTGGGCAGTGTTAGGACACAGTGTACTTAAGGTGTCTCTCTGCATGTTAGAAATCTTAAGAGGGAAAATAAATGCCCCTGAATTGAACTTTCAACTGTACGTATACAAGAGAAAATAATTTGCCAACAGGCAGCTACAGGCTACCATTTACTTTCTCAGCAGGAGGGAGAATTAAATCTGGCATTTTAAAAAAGTGCTTTTTATTTCAGGGTGGGTTGGAGAGCAAGTCAGGAATAATTACTAGGAAGGAAAAATGTTGAATTTGCAGTCTTAAATGAAAGATTGAAAACCTTTCTACACACATACGTGGGCCAGCTCCGTAATTCTAGCAGCAGATCCAGTGGTAAATCTGGCGACACTGGCCATGACTGATGGCCCTGGACTGATCAAGTCCACCGAGGCCTCCTCCTTTCCCAGAACCACGTGCAGCCACGTTGTTGTGCTAGTGCAGGAGTGGAAGGGTTCGCTTGTTTTCCTTGGGTAGTTTGAATTTTCAGCCAAGTGAGAAGTTTCCAAGGCATGGCCTCATACCCGCTGTCTCAAAGCTGTCTCTGTTCTTCTGCAGGCATCTTTCTTTGTGGTGTACAATATGGTGACAACAGAGGTGATTGCAGTGTTTGAGAATACATCCGATGAGCTTTTAGAGCTCTTTGAGAACTTCTGTGACCTCTTCCGTAACGCCACCCTGCACAGTGAAGTCCAGTTTCCCTGCTCAGCTTCTAGCAACAATTTTGCAAGGCAGATCCAGCGCCGGTAAGCTCTTTCAGGCTTAACAGGCTTCTCTCTAGACAATTCACTGGTGTTAGGCCAGTAGTTACTTCCTCCAAAAAACTCTTCCTGTATTCTCTCCGCCCACCTTGGTTTGGTTAGGTCTGCCTCTGGTAAACCCTTGGGTCACCCTGACCTTTTCCTTTCTGTCTCCCAGCACCTGTGGAATTACTAGTACACTGTCCGTGATTCCTCCCAGACTGTATGTGAGCTACGGAAAGATAGAGACTGTGTCTTTACTATTTATTGCTGTGTTCTCATGAATACGTTTATTATATGTATTGCGTTTAAGTATTTGTGGAGTGATATGACTTAAGGAAATAATTTTAGAACTTCTGGTTAAACAGGATGCGATGTGTTGAACACATGCATTTATCTCTGCTTCATCCCCAAATCCTATTAAAGTGACAAAAAGAAGTAAAAGGTGTAACTTTAACAAAAACAAAGAGAATGGGAAAGGAGAGACATGAGAGGCAGGAGATGATTGGCGATGGGATAGGAATCAGTTTTGGGAGCTGAGAAGCTAACTGATGAGTGGTAACTGACTTGACACACTTCAGAGAACAGAAACAAGACTGCAGAGCTTAGCCATCAAGAAACAAGTTGCCTTGCACCAGAGAACTCTGGAAAGGGTCAGAGAATTGGAGGCCCTAGGTACCTCTGAAGATACCTGTAATGTGGGCTTAAACTCAGAGGATTGGGTGAAGTTGATTGCAAGGAGCAATCAGAGGGCTCCTGGTGGCTCAGTCGGGTAAGCGTCCTACTCTTGGTTTAGGCTCAGGTCATGATCTCACAGTGCATGAGATTGAGCCCCACGTTGGGCTCTGTGCTGACAGTGTGGAGCCTGCTTGGGATTCTCTTTCCTTGTTTCTCTGCCCCTCACCTGCTTGTGTGTGCTCTTTCTCCCTCAAAATAAATAAGTAAACTTAAAAAAAAAAAAAAAAAGCAATCAGGCCCTTTAGCCCCTTTCTCTAAGCCTACTTAGCCAATTGACTGTGTCTTCTCCACCTCCGCAGAAGGCTGGAGGTTCAGTCTCCTGAGAAACTGAACCATGTAGGCCCTGGTTTCATGTTCGTGAGGCATAGCTGAGAGTAGGGATGAGATTGTCATGCTAAAAACAAGAATTGAATGAAAGCCAACAAACTGAAAGGTAAGATATGACAGCCAGGTTTATACTCCTTATGCAGGAGATTAGAGATTTTTCACTAGGAAAACTGACCAACCCAAAGAAGAGACCTTCAGATACTGACACTTACAAACACCTAGGTCACCCTAAATTAATACCACCCCCCCCCCCCCATCATCAGACAGGGTTTTCTCTGAACCAGAGCTTCTGATACAATTATCTGAGTACAACATTATTGTGAAATGAATGGTTACTCTGGGCCAAGGGCCCAAGCTGAATCCTACTCTAGTCAGTGCCTCATTGGATGCCACTTTAAATTGCTCCCCCAACCTTGGCCAGTTAGGGAAAAGATCTGCTTTAGGTTTCAAGATAGATCACACTGGAGTGAACAAAAGAATCAGAATAAGCATTACTGCCACTAGGAAAAATTAGCAGAGTAGGTACATTAATGCAGTGGCATCATCTTTATATAAAAGGATAGTAATCAACTAGAAACGGGTATTGGTTTTCAGACAGCTAACTTGCCTTTTCCTTTTTCTCTGGTTCACACAAATTTTCTGCCTTCTAAGCATTTCTGTTCAGTTATGGAAGGATATTTGGAGGCAGAATGTGGCTCAGATTGTGGTTTTTTCTTTTTGGAACAAATTTCCTTCTTTTAAAATTAACTTTAAAATTAGGCAGATCATTGTCAACTAATTACAAAGCTGGGTACACCAGGCTGAGTGAAAACATCAAAAGAAGTCACTAGAAAGAAGGTAAACTCCCATGAGGGCAGGGATTTTTGTCTGTTTCATTCACTGCCATATCCATAGCACCTAGGCCAGTGTCTTTCATGTAGGAGAAGCTTCTTAGGTATTTGTTGAGTGAATGAAGTCACCCAGTAATTAGAGGAAGCTATGTTTTGTTTTGTTTTTTTAATTATTTCAGAATGCATCTGGAATTAAGTGAAATTTTAAGAAGTCCCAGGAGAAATAAAGTTTGAAGAGAAAGGCGGTGTTCTAGCTTTGTGATTCTCAAAATGTTGGATCATACCACCAAAAGATGTTGAAGAACTGTAGATGTCCTTACATATTAATTTTTAAGTTGATCTTAACATTTTTTTGCTATTAAATTTGAATAATTGCAGAAGATACAATTTTCAGTGTATATTAAATATTCGTTTTTAAAAATATTATAAGCTTTTTTCCCCCAGCTTTATTGAGATACAATTAGCATATAACATATACGTTTATGGTGTATAACGTGACACTTTTGAACATAGCCAGGGAAACCTAGTTGCAAAAGTAATTTGGTGTTAGTATTTGATATAAAAAGTAGAGAGCAAATTATTCCCATACTGTTTGAAATTTCACATTGTTTCTTCTTGTCTTCAAATTCGTATTTGTATCCTAATATAACATTTTATATGAATTGTGTCCTAATATATCCTAATATATATTCCTAATAGATCCTAATGTATTTTGTTAGCCATCTTATCATGCTTTGCTGCATTGAAAGTACAATGTGTATATAATTGGAATCATTTTTCATTTCGTGTGAACACATGACTCCAAATGCTCAATTTTACAGTCTCCAGTAATCTTTTGGTGAAAAATAAGTGAAAGTGGATCCATTATAGGTTAGAGCAAATGTTCAAGAAAAAAAGGAGGTGGGGCGCCTGGGTGGCTCAGTAGGTTAAGCGCTGGACTTCGGCTCAGGTCATGATCTCATGGTTCATGGGTTTGAGCCCCATGTCGGGCTCTGTGCTGACAGCTCAGAGCCTGGAGTCTGCTTCGGATTCTGCGTCTCCTTCTCTTGCTGTGCCCCTCTCTCATTTATGCTCTGTCTCTCTTTCTCTCAATAAATAAAAAAACATTAAAAAAAAAAAAAGAAAAAAAGGAGGGGAACACTGAGGATCATGAGTTACTTAAGGAAAATCTTTAGACCAAAATAAAACAGTAAAGAATAAAGGAGCAGTATTGCAATCACTGAAATCATTGAAGCTATAAAAAAGGAGACATTCCTAAAACAGAAATTTAAACTTTGTTAGGTATAGTTGAGAGAGGAGAATAAACAGATAAAAGTAGGAAAATGGGAGAAAAACGATGAAAAAGAATTACAGAATTTGCCCAGGAGGCCCAACATCTGGTTATTTGCAGAGGGTGGGTGGAGAAAATGAAGAGAGGAAATAGTGTAAGACAGTTTCCCAACTTCCAGGTTGGCAGGACCTTTCAGTGATGTGCTGGGGCTGGCTTGTACTGGCTCACGAGGGCCAGTTGTTAAACATGGCAGGGATTTTTTGCAAGCTATTGCTAAACGTGGTGATTATTAAAAATTAATTATTTCCTAACTATTTTACTATTATTTATGGTCTTGAGTGTATTTGTGTCTATCTCCTCTGTGTGGTGAAAATACTGTATATTTTCTCTCTCTTTCTCTCTCTCTCTCTATATATACTCTCTACTGAAAATCTGCTGCTGCTCATCTTTCGACAATGCCACATTCAGTGATGTCACGTTGGTACCTTGAAACTGACCACAGCAGTAGGATTTACAGCACAGAAATTGGCAAGCGCTGCACATCATGGCTTCTTTCCCCAGATAAATACTTCTTAAGTCTTTATTAGTGTATCACCAGCTCCATCAAGTACCCAATGGAAAAAAGACCTGTATGGAGGCATACCATCATGAAAATTTGGAACATTGAGGCCAAAGAGAAAATTACAAAAACTTTCAGAAAGAACATACATTTCACATGTTAAAAAATAAGTTAGCAGACTGGTATTGCGTTTATCAATAATAACACCGAAAGCTTGAAGCCATTAAAATCATGCCTTCAGAAGTCTGTGGAAAAAAATGATACCGAGTCTAGAATTTTCTATCCAGTAGGGTGGAACAAAGATTTTTTCAGACATGTAAGTTCTTGAAAAATTACTTCTCGGGGCGCCTGGGTGGCGCAGTCGGTTAAGCGTCCGACTTCAGCCAGGTCACGATCTCGCGGTCCGTGAGTTCGAGCCCCGCGTCGGGCTCTGGGCTGATGGCTCAGAGCCTGGAGCCTGTTTCCGATTCTGTGTCTCCCTCTCTCTCTGCCCCTCGCCTGTTCATGCTCTGTCTCTCTCTGTCCCAAAAATAATAAATAAATGTTAAAAAAAAAAAAAAGAAAAATTACTTCTCATGTACCTTTTCTAAGGAAGCCTCTGGAAGATGTGTTTTCCACATAAAACACAAAAGTATGGTACAGGAAATAGTCTGAAGCCAGAGAGAAGCAAAGAGCACTCTGAAGATGATGGTAAAAGGGAAGTTCTGGGGTGGCAGAACACCAGGTGGGCCAGCTGGAGGAGGCAGGAGGGTGGAGGTTTCCAAGAGGCAAGTGTCCAGTGCAAGATGGTAATTGTTAGGAGGTCTGGTGGGTTTGAGTGGATCAAGAAGAGATTGTTAGCTCTGTTCCAGTAGACTTGTCATTGTGGGCCTCACGAGGGTGATAGCTGAGCAGAGCTTTTGAAGGAGGTCAGGGAGCAGGCCATGTGGATACTGGGGGGCACATTATCCCCCAAAAAGGTAGTGTAGTTCTGAAGGTCCTGAGGTGGGTCTCATGCATTTGAGGAACACCGGGGAGGCCAGAGTGCCTGGGCTGGGGTGAGAAGAAGCCCAGTAGTTGGAGATGTGGTCAGAGGTGGGGCCAGACACCTGAGGCTGTTCTGAGGCTTTGGCTGTAACTGCAGATGAGATTGTGTAGCATTTGAGCAGAGGAGTGACACATTCTCACTTGTTATTTTACCAGGGTCACTCTGGCTGCTGTGTTGGAATAGACTGTAGGAGGGTGGGGTAGAAGCAGGGACACCAGTTAGGAGACTGGTGCAAGGATTCGCTAAATATGTTTCCTGCCACAGGGAATATATATTTATATATTTACGCACCTAGAAGCATGCCTGGCGTATACTAGGCTGTTGGTAATTATCTGTCGATTGAATAACATTGGCTTGGATCAGGGTGGGAACAGTCAACCCTTGAACAACATGGGTTTGAACTGCATGGGTCCACTTACGTGTGGACTGTTTACAGTAAATACAGAACTGTAAATGTATTTTCCTCATGATTTATTTTCTTAATAACATTTTCTTTTCTCTAGCTTATTTTATTGTAAGAATACAGTTCATAACACGTGTAACATACAAAATATGTGTTAATCTCCTGTTTGTTTTCTGCTGGTAAGGCTTCTAGTCAGCGGTAGGCTATTAAGTTTTTGAGGAGTCAAAGTTGCATGCAGAGTTCTGACTGTGGGAGAGGTTGGTACTCCTGACCCTGTGATGTTCATGGGTCAGCTGTAATTGTGTGCTCAACGTATTTTGAAAATAGAACCCTAAAGATTAGTGGAGGATGGGGTTTGGGCCGTGGAAAGAGCAAAGTCAAAGACGATTGTTAACGTTTTTGTCTTGCAAAAGAGAGTTACTCTCAAACCGTGATGGTGAAGCTGTGGGTGAGGTTCAGGGGAGAAGGTTGGAGGTTCTGTAAGTGGAGAGGTCTGGTAGTTTCTCAGGAAGAAGTGTCAGATGCTTCTGCCAGGGCAGGTCTGTATCTCCTGAGAGATCAATCAGCTACTGGAGTTAGCAGCATGGAGGTCATCGGTGAGCTCCATGAGAGTGGCTTCAGTGGGATGGTGGGGAAAGCCTCTCTGGGGTGGGTTTAAGGAAGAGTGGGAAGAGAAGGCTTGGAGACAGCACCATAAGAAGTGTTCTGAGAGTTTTGTTGTCAGGGCTGGAAGACGGTGCCTGCACTGGAGGGGGCGAGTGGTGGTGCTTTTATTATTTTGTGACTGAGGGGGGGGAAGTGGCGTGTTTGTGTGCAGATGAGACTGTGTAGCTGGGGGGAGCTCGCGGTTTAGGAAAAGGTGGGGAAGAATTGATGTCGCATATGAGAGGCGATGGGACCTAGTGCCCAAGCGGGGAGATTGGTCTCACACCGCAGCACAGACAGTAGTATAGTGCAGATCGCCGATGGGGGCCTCACAAAGTTCTCTTCTCCTTGCTTCTGTTTGTCGGAACAAAGCAGGAGATGCCATTCGGTGAGGGTGGGCCTGGTGGAGGTATGAAATAGGCATCAGAGGGAGTGGGAGGGCTGGCTGGACCGGGGATTGCAGCCTGAGTGCCTGCAGCAGGAGGGCCCCACGACGTTCATGGTTATACATTTAAGTGAGCGTTGTATGTTTCCCTCCAGCCGTGGAGAACACCGAGCAGATACAGGCATGGAACGGGCAGAGTTGAGCTTAACTAGGGCTGTAGGTTTTCCAGGGAAGTGCCCCCAAGCAAGAGAAGGCAGAGTTGTGGAGGATGAGTGCAGTGGATTAAGTGTGGAATTGAAGCATGGGCTGAGGAAAGAGAGAGGACACAGGATATGGTCAAGGTGTAGGGTGACAAAAACTGGTAGAATCAGTGGACTGTAGATCCAGGGAGTAGAGGGAATGGGCTGGAAAGATAGGCAAGGAGGAGGCTGGAGAGAGTGGTGCCTCACCCTGATGTTACAGAGAGGTCGCAGTCCTGGGTAATGGTGAGACTGAGGATGTAGTACCTCGGAATGAGGGCTGAGGCAGAGAGGAGGTTCAGGAACCAGGGGGCCATGGTGCTGGAAGGATCATCTCTACGAATTTGGAAATGCCCACGAACTGAGAGAGGCATAACTGGACAGAATGACGGTGAGCCAGGATTTAAACGCTGCAAGTTGTCACAGGGATGACGGCTTCATCTTTCTGTCCGTGGGGAGCATGGCGAGTGGAGGGGGTGGTGCCGCTGGAAAAGCACTGCTTTCCCCGTGGGCCAGCCCCCGTCACTGGGAGCTGGTGAGCCAGGCAAGGCCGTGGTGCGGGTTGTGAGAGGTCGTACTGGATCTTGGCTGACAAGGAGCTGAAAACGATGATTCCTGCTCCTTCAGAGGGAAAGAAATAAGTTCTCTTTGGCCCAAGATTTAATTTTATGACTTACACTGAGGTGGTGAAAATTACTGTCAAGAAGAGTAACGGAAAGCAGTATTGATAGCTAGGCTCATAAACGAGGTGTTAACGTCCATCTAGAATCACAGGTTAATGGTGAAGACAAAATACAGAATCCATCTCATCAATCTTTCTGGTCTCCTCCAAGTCAGGAACGTTTAAGTTTTTAAATTTATTTTATTTGGTTTTCATGCCATTAATTTCAGGGATGAGATGTCATATTTTGTCCCTGGACTAAATTATTTTCCCTGTGTATTTTAAACCATATGATATACTTTGATGTAGAGGTTAAAGAAATACATACTGATGGTTGACATCCTTTCTAAGAAACTGTAGGAAAGTGAAAAAGAATAAAAACAAAATGTGATTACACAGGCACAATTATTTTGACGTATTTCTACCAGTCTGATTTTTTTTTTTTTAATGTTTATTTTTGATAGAGAGGCAGAAGGTGAGTGGGAGAGGGGCAGAGAGAGAGGGAGACACAAAATCCGAAGCAGGCTCCAGGCTCTGAGCTATTAGCGCAGAGCCCGACACGGGGCTTGACCCACGAGATCATGACCTGAGCCGAAGTCGGATACTTAACCGACTGAGCCATCCAGGCACCCCCACCACCAGTCTGATTTTTAGGACTAATTTTTTTCTGTTTTTTTTTTTTTTTTTTTTTAATCATACTGTGTAGACAGAGTGTAGCCTGTTTCTTTTACTTACCATTATGATAAATGTTTCCACTGTTACTATGCAGTCTTTGAAAATTATGGTTTTCCATTAGGTTCTTAATTTTCTGTCAATTTATTGCTATCATCAGCAATGCTTTATTAAAGGGGCAGAGAGATTTTTCTAAGTATGGGATTGCTTCCTTAGGGTAAATTTCCACAAGAAGAGAAATGCTTCGTCAAAGGGTATTAAATTTGGTATTCATTACAAGTGTGAGAAATTGCCCCATGGTTGTTGTTATTAAAACTAAGTGAGATGTGTGACTCTGTGTCCGCGTTACAGTTCTTCAGACACTGGCGTTTGTGCAGGAGCACAGGTAGCTAGCTCGTAAACTTTGAACACAGAATGAGTAGTTCGTCCAAGGTTTTTTTTGTTTTGTTTTAATGTTTATTATTTTTGAGAGAGAGAGAGAGACCAAGCAGGGCAGGGGCAGAGAGAGAGGGAGACACAGAATGGGAAGCAGGCTCCAGGCTCTGAGCTGTCAGCACATGGGGCTCGAACTCACAGACTGAGAGATCATGACCTGAGCTGAAGTCGGCTGCCTAACTGACTGAGCCACCTGGCGCCCCTAGAGTTTTGATGGAAGTTGGCTTATAACTGACCCCAAGGAGAGTCACAGAGAGGCTGCTCTGTTCTACGGGGTTCTTTGCTCTCTAGAGCTCTTGATGCAAACCTAGGCTATTATTTGGGGGAAGTAGAATTGAATGGAAGTGCTGTCACAGAGTAGTCACACTCCTTTTAAACTTGTTTGGAAAGTCTTTGTTAACTCTTCTAATGTAATTTAATGTTCCTATTGCGAATTTTTTTCTGTTTCTGAGAATATTTGTAGCCGGGCCGACTGGGGATGTGTGAGAGCTCTGACTTCCTGCATTACCTAGATTTCTGTGTACAGAATGAGTTGTTTTTAGACATGTTTTATCAGCTTAAAATCCAAGGCAGCTTGGTGTGTCCACTAACACAGCCTTCCTCACTGGTGCTTTATTTTAGGTTTAAAGACACTATCGTAAACGCCAAGTACGGAGGGCACACGGAGGCAGTACGCCGGCTGCTGGGGCAGCTCCCCATCAGTGCCCAGTCTTACAGCGGTAGCCCCTACCTTGATTTGTCTCTCTTCAGCTACGACGACAAGTGGGTGTCCGTCATGGAGCGACCCAAGACTTGTGGAGATCACCCTATCAGGTACACCATCACTGTAGCCTCAGGGCTACGGGCGGCCTGCCCTCTCTCTCTTCTTGGACATCATTTCACTGTGACTATGTCCGCTTGTACTCATGGCTTCAGTTGGAGGGACAGGCTGTTTCTGTAATGTGGTGAGTGCTTTTGATCATGTAGGTACTAGTCTCAGTAGTTCTGTCCTTTGCTTCTCCTGAAAACATCCAATTCAGATGAGTTTGTTCCCTTTTAAAGGTATCCAGGGTATAAAACCACATGCCATTTCATAATAGCAGTAGGTTGAGACTTTCTAAATTTATTTCACTCAAATCATTTTATCTCCTGTGTTATCTAGTAGAAGAGCTAGCAGAGATGGTGTGGGGAACAGGCAGGTTTTGGAGAAACTCCCGCTTCCTCACTTGAAGAAATTCTGGAATGTTGATACTGTATTATTGCTAGAAACTTGAGACTGACCTCTTACAGGCAGTCCCTCCCTCACAAATGTCCTCTTCACAGAACCCCGGGCCCCCCCCCCCCCCGTTGGGAGCTTGTGTTGTTCTGTGTGATGTATTGGGTACTAGGGAGAGGATTGGGCACCACCGCCACCCGTGAGGTTATTTCAGGGGAGGTATGTTCTGGAACCCTGGGCTGGAGAGTGGAAGCTCTTTTTCACATAGAAACATAGAAACAGTGGTAGCTGGTATTTCACTGTCCGGCTTCATTGTGTATGAAAGAGGCCTGTGTAACATATTCTGTACGATTAATCACCATTCATGGCATTTCCTTTGGGAAATTTCAGTCAGTTTCCAAAAAACAGTTAACCTTTTTTTTTAATTGCAGAAAGTTTTAAACATATAAAAGCGGAAGAGTGTAATGAACCTGCATGCGCCCACCACCCAGTCTTTTTTTTTTTTTTTTTCCCCCACCACCCAGTCTTAACAGTTGCCATACCATCCCATGGTCAGTGGTGTTTTGTCTTTCCACCACCACCACTCCCCCTCGCCCCAAATGCCACCCTTGATATGATGAAGCAAATCCCAGATTTCATAGCATTTTGCTCATATATATTTTAGTAATGTCTAAAAGAGAAAGACTTACAAAAATACAACCTCAGTACCATTCTATCTTAAGAAAATTATCAAAAATTTATTAAGACCACCCAATACCTAGTTTTCACATTTCCCTGTTGTCTTGTAAATATTCTTTTGTGGTTCCACGTGTTCCCATCAGGATCTAAACAGGGTTCATACATTGTATTTGGTCGCTTCTCCCTTAAGTCCGTTTTATTCTATATGTTCTGCTTCCTTCCTCTTTTCCTTGCAGTGAAATTGTTGAAGAAACCATGTTGCTTGTCCTGTAGTGTTTCCCACATTCTGAAGTTTGCTCACCGCATCCCTGGAGTAGTATTTACTATTTTTCTCAGTCTCTCATATTTCCTATATTTCCTGTAAACTGGTAGTTAGATTTAGAAGCTCAGACAACTCGCTTTGCTTACAGGCCCTTTGTGTGTTGGGGACTATGTGGGGGAGGTGAATGTGGTTTTCACACGTAAAAGCGTATCGTGGGCCTCATTTGATATTGTCAAGTAGTGTGAGATACGCTCCCCTCCTTTCTGACCTGCCTCTGATTTGAAAAGATTAACCCAAGCGACAAATTTGGAAATGGCTCTTGCCCCTGTTTCTCACTTATTTTTAGTTTAAAATGAGAAATGTAAGGATATTAGAGGCACCGGAAGAGGAAATGCTGTGACTTGAACACCTGTATTGTGTATTCCAGTCTCGTCTTTGTCGTTCTGCAGGCTTGCACGTGCCAAGTTGTCATCCTGGTTAGCGTAACACTTTGTAGTCGGCTTGTATTTTATAAATGTTTCTCTGTGTTGTTACATAGTCCTCCGAATAGCAGCCCTGATGACAGCATATTGTTCCCTCGTTAGACGCACCACAGTTGATTTAACTCTTCCCCTGTTGCTGAGCCTTTACTCTCGGTCTGCGTTTCTACATTAGAGCTTTGATAGAGTAGCCGTCTTTATTCACATCACTATTAACTTCATTTGGATTAAATTCTGAGGATAGAAATTCTTGGAAATGGGATTATGAGTATCTTTATGGGTACATATGTTTGTTGTCCAAAAGGGAAATTACAGAGCTCTCTATTTCAGAGCTCTCATTTTTCTGGAACTTACCCTAATTCAGCCCCAACCCCCCCTGAACATCTCTAGTTCCTGATTCCAGAGGACACTTACTTTGCATATGGGAAAATGTATTTAAGTATGGGGATGAATGGAATTATTCGATGAAAACTGTCAGACTAGTTAGTATTTTGTTTTTGGGTGTGAAAAAGAAGAACCTTTCAAAAGAGTTTGTTCTTGACAACTCAAATATGGGTCTAGATCTACACTGTCCTATATCGGAGCCACTAGCTGCATGTGGCTGTTAAGCATTTAAGATGTGACTAGTCCAAGTTGACATGTGCTCAAGTGTCACACATCAGATTTCAAAGACTTAATACAAAAAAAAGAATGTGAAATATCTCATTAATATTTTTTACATGGATTATAGGTTGAAATGATAGTATTTTGGATGCCAATATTGGGTTAAACAGAATATTTTATTAAAATTAATTTCACCTTTCTCTTTTTACCTTTTTTATTATTTAAAAAAAAATTTTTTTTTTCAACATTTTTTATTTATTTTTGGGACAGAGAGAGACAGAGCATGAACGGGGGAGGGGCAGAGAGAGAGGGAGACACAGAATCGGAGACAGGCTCCAGGCTCCGAGCCATCAGCCCAGAGCCCGACGCGGGGCTCGAACTCACGGAGCGCGAGATCGTGACCTGGCTGAAGTTGGACGCTCAACCGACTGCGCCACCCAGGCGCCCCATCTTTTTACCTTTTTTAAATGTGACTACTTGGAAATTTAAAAGTGTACATGTGGCTTGCATTTCATTTCTAGCTCTGGTCTAGATACTCTTGGGGCAGCGTGTCTGGAAAAGAGGAGGCTGTAGTTTTAAGGCTGTAACTAAGGGTTATCTTGGGAAAGAGAAAGGAGCCAGTGACTCAGGACAGCACAGTACAATTCACAGTGACCCCGTGCATACCACGAGCAGCTCAGACAAAGGTGGTTTCGCAGTTCTGATACCCTGAGGCTGATGTAAGAGGAGATCCCGTGAGTAAGATTGAATTACGAGTTGCCGCGTTCCCGTGCTGAGCGGATTGCAAAGCGGTGGTGAATATCTCTGTACCATCCTCTCTTTCTCTCCTTGTTCTGTTTAGGTTCTATGCCCGGGACTCTGGTCTGCTCAAGTTTGAGATCCAGGCAGGCTTACTGGGCCGCCCCATCAACCACACAGTGCGGCGCCTTGTTGCATTCACCTTTCACCCTTTTGAGCCTTTTGCTATTTCCGTGCAGAGGACTAATGCCGAGTACGTTGTCAACTTCCACATGCGACACTGCTGCACGTAGGTGCCTCACCAGAGCCCCGTTACCTGGTCTTCCGAAACGTTGCCCCCTTCTTGTCTCAGTGGACTCTGAAGCAAAAGCTCCTGCCTGCCGGCTTTGTTGGTTCCAGATGGTTATACCTCAGTTGGGGAGAGCCGGAGAGAGGAGCGAGGGTGGCCCAGCCAAATGGAATTTTTATCGTATCCAACTACTGATTGATTGCAAGTCCTCTGGTCCTTTCCCTGTGGGAATGCCCAGCATTAATTAAGTCCAGTTGGTTTTTGTTCTGTTTTGCATTTTATTGCTATATGAAGATGACAGCATTACACCTTCCCCCCCCTTCATGTCCATTCTTTGGCATTATGGTATGCGGTCTGAAGTGGGTACATCTTTGCTCACGGGAACTGTGTCCATCTTTTCACGTAGCCGACAGCAGGGCTATCTTTATATAAAGAGAACACAAATAAAGCCTTGGTATTTTCTTACTTAAATATATCCTGTTTGCTGACTGCCTTCTGTCCCGATCTCACCGAATACTTTTCACATTTGTGGTTCCAGGAGGGACTGTGAAAGGGACTGGAGGCCATGGCTCCAGCAGCTGCCCTGGGGAGAGCGGAGTGGTGTGTGCCGGCACGGAAGACCGTTATCTGTCAGGATTGCCGTCTTCCCTGGGGTTTTGTCCTGGTAGTCGTTACAGCTGGAGGGGCCGGGCATAACTGCACGTTGTCATGTGGAAGCACGCTCCCATCTGCACGGTCTGTGTCATGCAGGTGGGAGGGTGATCCGTTCTCTGGGGCCGTAGCGGATACAGACACCGTGTAGCACGCACAGCAGTTGGGTCGTGAGAGCTGGCAGGCTCCACGCGTCCCTAAAGAGATCAGACTGACTGCTCCTGGATGGCCCGGCCGTCACCGCTCCTCCGAACACCTGCTGGCCCCCAGCCAGCCTCCTTCTGTGCGGTCTCAGCCAGTGTCCTCCGGCGGGCTCGTGAGGCTGCTTCTGTCTCATCCGCATAACGTATCCCCCGCTTATGGAGTCAGCTTGTTTAGTAGCACCTGACTTTGAGAGCAGCTTGAAATGTTGGATTTCAGAGCAGGTTGTGGAAAGAGTCACGGATGCGAACAGATGGATTCCGTATCCCTCTGCCATCCAGATCGACCTCCCTTGGGAGCATAACAAATGTGATAGGAGATACAGAGCCCCACCAAAACCAGTTCAGCTAATTTCATCATCCTCAATATCGAACGGCTGCATTCATTCTCATTCAGCGTGCAGCACAGGATTTGAGCGCCAGCTGTGGGTCGGGTAGATGCTGTGCTGAGATCTGGCGGATGAGACAAATAGGCCAACAAAGAGAATTATAATGCAGAATGGCAGAAGCCCCAGTAGTGGTTCTCTGGGAACAGTGGAGAAGGATGAAGGCGAGGTGGAGGAGGAGAGCCATACTGGGGAAGGGACACTGGAGCCGGACAAACGGGAGTCTGTTGTGTGGACCAGGGCAGGGGACGTTTCGAGGAGAGAGCCAGCGTGCACAAAGGCGCGGAAGCGTGAACAGGGCTGTCAGGGCCGTGGAATGGTAACGAATACGGCTGCAGCACAGGCTGTGGGGAGGCCGGGGGAGTGTGACCGAATCATGAAGAGAAGTCTTGTGTGTGGTGTTAGGGTTTGTGCGGTGGAAGACGTGATCCGAATTTCACAAAGACTGTCTTTAGCAGTCTGGAAGGTGGTTTGGAGGCGGGCCGACAAGCCAGTGGTGGTAATCCAGAGGAGAAGAGGAGGGTTTGAATGACCTCACTGGGCTTCTGGAAGGATGAAATACTGAGGCATTCTCCTAGATTCTTCGCAGGTCATGACAAAATCAGGGTCCCAAAGCAGTCACACGTTTGTGGGGACTCAAATCTTCAATCTTTCGTGGTTGAAGCCCTTCACCTGCAGCTTTCTTCTGTGCCAGGTTGCTTGACTGTACCTGAGGGACTGGGGAGTGGAGTCACTCGGGCTGCAGTGGGAATCCCCGCCCTTCTGCCCAGTAGGTCTGTGACCCTGGGCGGTGTCCTAGCCTTTCTGAAGCTTAATGTGTACTTCCTGTCGCCTTACTCCTCCATTCTCCTGGTCCTATCTCCTGTCTTCCATCTCGTCTAACTCCCCAAGCAATTCTCCTACGCTTTCCTGCTCTGTTTACTCTCCCACTCGCTGAAATTGCCGTTTGACACCTTCATTCCTCTTCCAAAGCCCACCTTCCTTTTCTCCCTGATCACCTTGCCACCCACTTCCAGGCGGAAGTGGAAACAATCACGTGGGGGAATTGCCTTATCTTTCTTTCACCATGTCAACCCCATGACTTGTGTCTATGTTCCTCGCCTGCTTTTCCTCCGGAGTCCAGTAGCCTTGCTTCCCTAAAAGGCCAACTCCTCCCCGTGCTCACTGAATCCTGTCTCTTCTAGACTTCTCAACTTCTTCACTCCTGCAATTATTCTTTACTGTATCTTCCTCTTGATAGGTCATTTCTACTAGCACATTAGATACACTCTAGGATGTTCTTTTTTTAAAGATTTTATTTTTAAGTAATCTCTCCACCTGACAAGGGGCTTGAACGCACAGCCCTGAGATCAAGAGTTGCACGATCTACTGACTGAGCCAGCCAGGCGCGCTTACGATCTTCTTTATCTTTTTTGTTTTTTTAATATTTATTTATTTTTGAGAGAGAGAGAGAGAGAGACAGAGTGCAAGAAAGGGAGGGGCAGAGAGAGGGAGAGAGAGGGAGACACAGGATCTGAAGCAGGTTTCAGGCTCCGAGCTGTCAGCACAGAGTCCAATGTGGGACTCGAACTCACGGACCGTGAGATCATGACCTGAGCCGAAGTCAGACCATCAACCGACTGAGCCACCCAGGTGCCCCAGATCTTTTTTCTTTAAAACCTCCTGCTTTGGCCTCTTCTCCCCCTTCAGTTACTGCCCACCTCTCTGTTACCCTTCACAGAAAAACTTCTCAAAGGAGTTGTTTAAATGTTTTCACCCCACCACGTCCTGTTTTTCCTCAGCCCACTCCAGATGGGTTTTAGTCCCCCTCCACTGACACGGCACTTGTCCCAGCCACCAGGGACTCCATGTTGCCAGTTCAGCACACACCTCTCATCCCTTTTGTGCCCAGCCGCCCGACATCGGGCATAATTCATTTCTCTCTCTGTCAGGAAGCACTTGCCTTTCTTGGTTTCCGGGACAGTACGAGTTTCTGGTTTTCTTCCTGCCTTGCTGATGGTTGCTCGTTGGTCCCCTTTGCTGGCTTCTCGGCTCTACCTTTAGATGCTAGAGTGCCCCAGCCCTTGGCCTTGGATTCTCTCCTCATTTCCTCGGTATACCATTTCTTTAATTGATTTTGTCATTTCCCTGGTTTTATATTCTAGCTATATGCTGATGATTCTCAAAATTATAACCCCAGCCCTGATGCCTTCCTGGACCTCCAGATTCATATATCCCATGGCTTACCTGGCATCTTCATTTGAATATCTAATAGGCATTTCAAAACCAGTATCTCCAAAACTGGGCTCTTGAGTCTCACTCCCCACCTCTAACCCATTGTTTTCCTCCCAGAGTTTCCAGATGGCTTCAGCGTTTACCCATTTACTGCAGGCAATAACTTAGGAACTATTTCCAGTTTTCCTTTTTTCCAGCCCCGACCTCTTCCCCTGGCGCCCACATATCTGCCTTTGCCTTACCAACCGTGGTGATCCCTTACTCCGTGTTAGTGACTAGAACTAGGTCAAGACCAGCTGGCAGAAGGGGTTAGTTTACGAATGTCGTGTGACTTCTGTCAGGTCAATTATACTGTAAGGTAGAGGTTTCTGGAACTGTGGGGGAAACATTTCTCTTTTGAAAATGTCTGTGAGGAACCTTGTGGCCCACAGTTCCACAACCCACCACCCAATGATCCTATTCAAAAAGAATCAGCCAGGGGTGCCTGGGAAGTTCAGTCGGTTAAGTGTCCCACTTCGGCTGAGGTCATGATCTTGTGGCCTGTGAGTTCAAGCCCCACATGGAGCTCTGTGCTGACAGCTCGGAGCCTGGAGCCTGCTTTGGATTCTGTATCTCCCTTTGTCTCTGCCCCTCCCCTGCTCATGCTCGCTCTTGCTCTCTCTCTCAAAAATAAACAAATGGTAAAAAAAAAAAAATTTTTTTTTTAAATTCCCTGAGGAGGGAGCTGAACTGGATGGCAGAGTAGAGAGGAAAGAACCCGGATCGTAGATAACGTAGTTGGTTGGCTGGATCACTCAACCCTATAACCCATCCTACATCTGGGTTTCCGGTTCTGGGAGACAGTAAGCTTCCATACTGTTTAAGCCACTTTGAATTGATTTGTTGTTGTTGTTGTTGTTTCTTATAATTGAAAGCAAATTAATAGATGCAAAGAGAAAGGCAGGTCCTCCGTGGAAAGAGTCAGGAAGTTCCTGCTGGCTGGGTAGGGTTTGAAAAGGCCCAATTATGATTCCTGTTCTCTGATTTCAGTAAGATTCCTGGCTCTCTGTTAGCCCCCTTCAGCCATACCTGTACTGGCCTGGGTGTTTCTTATGGCTAAAAGGATGTAACTAAAATGAGCGATAAAGCACTGAGCTCATTGAGCACTTGAGCCATATGAAGTTCACAACCCCTGTGTGTTTATATTAACTTTGTTTCTAAAGGATTTTAGGCCCCTCTCAGTAAATTCTAGTGCCTTCTTTCTACAGATATCCAGTGAACTTCAAGAATCTTTGGAGAATCAAGCTCTTTGGAACCAAAAATGTTTAAGAAAAGCAGAGACTTCAGGGGATTTATCTTTCAGATCTAAATTCTTGCCTGGAACTCTCTTCTTATCCCTATTCTGCAGGGGCTGATGTGTCAATGATCAGGGCCAAGCCGTTCTGGGCCTTTGAGAGAAAGGCTCCATTTAAATTTAGTCTCTTTCATTCAGAGTCCTTGTAGAGAAGCACAGTATTAAATCAGTGAAAAGCCTAAATTAGATAATTTTTAAAAGAACGGTAGCTTCATTATTTTTCAAGTACACAGAGTAACTGCATCTCAGCCATGAAGTGTTCCTTTGTAGAAACCCTTGGAGACTTTTCTTAATGAATGGATTATAATTATTGGTAATCAGCATAACGGTTCTCTGCAATACGTGCTTCGAAAGGAATTGAGCATATTAAATGATTTTGATGTTCCAGAGGGCAATTTTGTTTACAACATCAATCTGCTCAGTGTATACCCTTTATAGCTATAACCCTCTGTTGTTTAAAAAAAGAAAAAAGAGAAAGCAAAGAAAGGAAAAATTCTGAAGACTCGCTCCATCACACAACATTTGATTACCAGAGGCAGAAATAACATGGGAGGATAGAGAGATGCATAGTAGGACTCATTCTTTACCCACGTTGTCCTGACAGAACTATGGGAACAGGTCAGGCTTATGAGTGGGGCCTGTCCCTGTCACCTGCTAGCTCTGTATCCTTGGGCTTGCTTGATAATAAGAATTTTACCGAGTTTCAATTTCTCTGTAAAATGGGGTAACGTCTGCCCGGCAGGGCTGATGTGAGCAGTAAATGAGTATTAGTTGAAGCTCTTCATACAGGAAGTAGCCAATAAATCCTAGCTTCCATTCTCTCCCTAGATTTCCTGGCCTGTGGGGGAGGCTCCCCCCGCCTCCTTAATGTCACAGAGACCGCACCCAGCCCTGGTGGTGCCTCTCTGTTCCTTGCTGATCCAGAAACACAAGCTTGCCCCTTCTCTAGGCCCAGCCCCTACACAGGACACCGGTGGCTTTTGAGGGGGTGCCATTCTGCTACCACAGTCTCCGTTCTGAGAAGACCAGAACATCCCTAACCCTCTTTGCGGCCAAATACATTGGATTCAAAGGAGCCTTGTTTGCTGACTGTTTGTTGTCGTTGATCGTGAACGTTTACTAAGTGCTCACTCTGGGGTCAGGAGCTAGGTAAGCACCTTATATTGGAAGGTATTCCTTCATTTCATCGATTCTGAGATGCATTTTTCAAAATTGGAGTGTATCCAATATGGGGATCTCGTCAGTGTCAGTCGGCAACCACAACGTCACCGCTGTCGTCGCCTGTGCAGGTTCACACTGAGCATGCTCTTCACGTTGTCCTCCTTGCTGTTGAGTAATGTGTGCCGGGGATACCACATGTGTTAAGTGTCCATGCTCTTTGGAGTGTCTTCAAAAAGATTATCCTAGGATTTGGTGTTGAAAGGTTATTTTATATACAGAAAGGTACAGAAGCCGAGCAGTGTGGTTAATTTTGGTATCAGCGAAGCAAAGGTTTGCCACTGAAGGAATGAACGTGAGGCCACATTTTTTTGCAGAGCAGCCACCAAGTGCTTTTTGGAACTAAGAGAGAAAGATAACCACTGGCAAACGAAGTTTTACTGGCACACTGAATTTCGTGGAAAAGGACCGCCTGTCAAACAACCAACAAGGCAAGTGAAGGAAGGGGAGACTGTCACAGGCCTCGGAATAAATGGAAGAAGTTGTAATGCAACGAGAGGCCTTGTGTGACCAATTCATGCAAAGCACAGGACTAATCATTAAGGTGTGAACTGGTCAGAAACTTCCTGCTGACTCTGAGCAGAAGCCGGTTCACTTCCAGGGGCACGTGATTCAAAATAGAAAGAAAACGAAAACTAGAACCTAAGTCGAATGAGAAATACTAATGACACTGGATGTTCCTCAGTGTGCCCCTAATACCTCTAAATCCAAAAAAAAAAAAGGCCTAAAATGCTCTTTGAATATGTATATGTTTTAAGGGTACTAGTAGGGTTTGTTTTAACTCCATACGGTAAGACACACAGAGATGGAAATGACTGTCATGAAGGAAGAAGTCTGTTTTACCTACACGTCTCTAGAAACGGGGCAGGGCATATCAGGCCCCATGGGAAGGCAGCTGGGTCAATCGGGAGGTCGAGGAGCCAGGGGAAAATGTGGGTGAGAGCCTTTATTGTGGTTTCTACAACAGGCAAGCCAGGCTGAGAAGGCTTGGGATTGGCTAATCTTGAGTAATTTTGGTGAGCTCTGTGACATAGGGGCTGACCCTAGTTGTCTGATACCTGGCTCTGAGGTGATTAGGGCAGCTGGATAGTGGCCCAGAGTGTGAGAGCACCATATAGGAGGTGGTTGGGGCACTGGCTCCGGATTGGTTGGTGTGCGTGTAACGGCACACTCCCAGGGAGTTGTTTGCTGTCTCTAGGAGTTAGCTGACCCTGGGAGGGGCAGTCCCTGTAAGGTCAGTGAGGTCTTAATAGGTCAAAGCATCAGAAAATAAAAGGTACGGTTAATACAGTACAAAATGTCCTAAGTATTAAGCGTCGTCATGGTACGATTATCTAGGTTCCTTTGTTAGTGCCGCATGGTTGGTAGCCTGCTTCCGGGATGTCCCGCAGTGATCCCGCCTCCTCGATTCATGCTCTTGGGTAGTTCCCTCCCACATTGTATCTGGGTTGGTCTGTGTGACCAAAACGACACAAGCAGAAGTGTGAGTGTGTCACTTTCAAGCCTCGGTTTATAAACGGCATCTTGGGGCCAGGCTTCTACATCCACTCTACCCCCCGCTTCAACCGCTCACTCTGGGGGAGACCAGCTGTCCTGTCGTGAGGACATTCGGACAGCCTTCTGGAGAGACCCGCTTGGCTTCTTGCTAATAGCCATGGGAGAGAGATACCTTGGAAGCGGGTCCTCCAGCCTCAGTCAAGCCTGCGGATGACTGCAGCCTCATGAGAAACCCTGAGCAAGAACCACCCAGCCAAGCCACTTCCAGATTCTTGACTCTCAGAAAGCCTGTGAGATAAATGTGGTTTTAAGCTGCTGAGTTTGGGGGGAGCAATTTGCTATGTAACAATATCTGATGAACACACATAAATAATGGCGTATTTTGCAATATGACACCTTATATTTGAAAAAGGCCATATTACCCTCGTTTTATAAATAAGGAAACTAATCTCCGAGACGCTAAATGATTTGCCCATCATTACTAGTTAATAGCAGGTAAAACTAATCCAGCCTGTGTCAGAATTCACTTAAAGCCTGGATTTATAGAGATCTAAACTGGGGTTTCACTGATTACCAATAACATTCACAGGGAATTCTTACATTTCAGTGCCTCTGTATCCACTGCCTCCCTTAGAGGGGGATGGCCAATAAGGATATTTTTGATTAAGGTTGAAAATCCACATATTTCTCCCTCTTCACACGAGTATGTTGGTTGGCTTATTTGTTCATTTATGTATTAAAAATGTTTTGAGGACCTACTAAGTGCCAGGAACTAGGAATATAAGAATTCGTGTCATAGCCCCAACCGTTTCTAGTCTGAAAATGTTTCTGAATACAGCCGTACCTCAGAGATAGTGCCGGTTTGGTTCCCCAGCACTGCCGTAAAATGGATATCACAATAAAGCAAGTCAAATGAATGCTTTTGTTTCCCTGTGTGTATAAAAGCTGTATTTACACCATGCAATAGTCTGTTAAGTGTGCAGCAGCATTATGTCTAAAAAAAAAACAATGCACATACCTTGATTTTAAAAATGTCGCTAAAAAATGCTGCCACCTGAGCCTTCAGTGAGCTGTAATCTTTTTGCTGGTGGAGGGTCTTGCCTCAATGTCGACGGTGCTGACTGGTGGCCGCTGAAGGTTGGGGTGGCTGTGGCAATTTTCAAAATAAGACAATGGAGAAGTTTGCTGCATCAATGGACTCTTCTATCACAAACGATTTCTCTGTAGCTGGTGATGCCATTTGATGACTTTTTCCCACAGCAGAGCTTCTTTCAAAATTGGAGTCTTCTCAAAACCCGCCGCTGCGCTGTCAGCTGAGTGTAGGTAATATTCCAAATCCTTTGTTGTCATTTCAACAGTCTCCTCCGCCAGGAGGAGGCGCTGTCTCGGGGAACCGCTTTCTGTGCTCTTCCCAAGAAGCAATTCTTCATCTGTTACAGTTTGATCATGAGATTTCATCAATTCAATCCCATTTTCAGGCTCCGCTTCCTGTTCTCTTGCTGTTTCCACCACATCTGCAGTGACTTCCTCTCCTGAAGTCTTGAACCCCTCAAGGTCATCCAGGAGGGTTGGGATCAATTGCTTCCAAACTCCTGTTCATGTTGGTATTCTGACCTCTTCTCATGAATCATGAATGTTCTTATTGGCATCCAGAGTGGTGAAGCCTTTCCAGAAGGTTTTCAATTTACTTGCCCAGATCCGTCAGAGGAATCCCTATCTGTGGCAGCCGTAGCCTTACAAAATCTATTTCTTAAATAGTAAGACCTGAAAGTTGAAATTATGTCTGGATCATGGGCTGCAGAATGGATGTTGTGTCAGTAGGCGTGTAAACAACATCAGTCTCGTACATCTCCATCAGAATTCTTGGGTGACCAGATGCATTGTCAACGAGCAGCAATATTTTGAAAGGAATCATTTTTTTTTTCTGAGCAGTAGGTCTCAACAGTGTTTGGGTTTGCAGTATTTCGTGTACCATGTTGTAAACAGATGTACTGTCCGGACTTTGTTACATCACTGACAGAGCACAGGCAGAGTAGGTTGAGCATAATTCTTAAAGGCCCTAGGATTTTCAGAGTGGCACATGAGCACAGGCTTCCACTTGAAGCCAGCAGCTGCATTAGCCCCTACCAACAGAGTCAGCCTGTCCTTTGAAGCCAGACGTTGACTTCTCTCCAGCTAAGAAAGTCCTAGATGGCATCTTCTTCTGATATAAGGCCGTTGCATCCACACTGAAAATCTGTTGTTTGGTGGAGCCACCTTCATTAACGATCACAGCTGGAGCTTCTGGAGAACTTGCTGGAGCTTCTACATCAGCACTCGCTGCTTCGCCTTGTAGTTTCATGTTATGGAGAAGGTGTCTTGTCTTCCCTTAAACCTTACGAACCAACCTCTGCTAGCTTCCAACCTGTCTTCTGTGGCTTCCCTATCTCTCTCAGCCTTCACGGAAGTGAAGAGAGTGAGGGCCTTGCTCTGGATTAGGCTTTGCCCCCAGGGAAGGTTGTGGCTGGTTGGATCTTCTCTGCAGGCCACGAAGACTTTCTCCTTGTCAGCAGTGAGGCTGTTTCTCTTATGTGTGTGTTCACTGGAGTAGCACTTTTAATGTCCTTCAAGAATTTTTCCTTTACATTCACAACTTGCCTGTTTGAGGCAAGAGGCCTAGCTTTTGGCTTCTCTCAGCTTTCAATATGCCTTCCTCACTGAGGTTAATCATTTCTAGCTTCTGATTTCAAGTGAGAGATGTGTGACTCTTCCTTTCACGCAGACACTTAGAGGCCACTGTAGGGTTACTAATTGGTCTCATTTCAATATTGTTGTGTTTCAGGGATCAGGGAGAGTGAGAAAGAGGGGGACAACTGGTTGATGGAGCAGTCAGAACACACGACAAAACAATTATGTAACATCAAAGATCACTCATCACAGATTGCCACAACAAATATAATAACAATGGAAAAGTTTGGAATATTGCAAGAATTACCAAAACGTGACACGGTGACTCAAAGTGAGCAAAATGTTACTGGAACAATGGAGCCGACAAGCTTGTAGACATGAGGTTGCCGTGTAAAATCTGCGGTGTCCGAGAGATCCCGTAAAATGAGGGGTGTCGTCGTGCCATCGGGGAAGCTTCCAAATAACCAGTGTCTGAATGCGGAGGTGGGAGGAAGGAGCCGAGGGGTGGGTTGTTGTGCGGTGGGAGCCCAGGCTTCTCCGTGTCCTGTTTTATTAACTCTGATGATGGAGTTCCGTCCCCCCCCAGGGAGCACTTACAGTTCCGTTCCCCTCCCCCCCAGGGAGCACTTACAGATCCACAGGACAGCTGCCTGAAACTGCCACCTGGCCCTGCCAGCAGAAGCCGAGTTCCCAGGCCCCATGCTGTGCGTCCCATTCATCGTCCTGAGACCAGAGAGAGATCTCCTGGTCTTCAACTACCGTGTGTCTTCCAAACTTAGTATTAATTTCCCAGGATTAGGAGAGGAGACTGTCACTTCACTTTAATTAATTGTTGAAAGAACAGAGAGGGGTCTATATTTCTACTAAAAGGAAAATTTAAAAAACGGAGGGAATGGAAATATTCTGAATGGGGGAACCCAGAAGTAAAATAAAGGTGGTTTTCAAACTCAGTTTCTTCTCCCTCATCTTTAAAGGGTTTTTTGGGGGGCGGAGGGACATGTGTTATGAGGTTTGAAGTCTGTCCTTAAGGAGGGATATGTTATTGAAAATAAATTACCTTTAGATTGTTTTTCACAGTCAGTTTATTTTGTTTTATTTTTATTTTAGAGAGAGAAGAGAGCGTGAATGGGGGAGGGGGCAAAGGGAGAGAGAGAATCTTAAGCAGGTTCCACACTTAGTGCGGAGCCCAATGTGGAACCTGGTCTCACAAACCATGAGATTGTGACCTGAGCCAAGATCAAGAGTCAGACACCCAACCGATTGACTACCCAGGCGCCCCTTCCACAGTCAATTATTTTTAAAGAAATGTTTTAATGTCATTTTGGTTAACATTTTTAAGAATATAGCTTATCTGAAAAGTGATTATCAACTCAGGGTAGGTTACAGATAAAATTGAGGTCATGGGCATGTTAGAATCTTTTTTTTTTTTTAATTTTTTTTTTAACATTTATTTATTTTTGAGACAGAGACAGACAGAGCATGAACGGGGGAGGGTCAGAGAGAGAGGGAGACACAGAATCCGAAACAGGCTCCAGGCTCTGAGTAGTCAGCACAGAGCCCGACGTGGGGCTCGAACCCACGGACAGTGAGGTCATGACCTGAGCCGAAGTCGGATGCCCAACCGACTGAGCCACCCAGGCGCCCCTGGGCATGTTAGAATCTTGACAGAAATTTTGAAAAAATTAGTTGAGATTTTTATTGGGAGAATGAAAAAGTGTGTAAGTTTTCACATTACAAATTGCAGAAAGTTAAAATCTTATCTGATGAGGCTATGCGGAAGATGGATTCATAACTGAGACAAATCTCCCCCAAATCTTGGAGGGACAGGAGATTTTCCTGCTTATCAGATAGGGGGATTAGCTTTGGAAGGCTGAAAAGCATTGCATTAGATAAATACTGGTTTTCATGGCTCCTGGGTGACTCAGTTAAGCGTCCAACTCTTGATTTCAGCTCAGGTCATGATCTCACAGTTGGTGAGATCGAGCCCTACACTGGGCTCCACACTGAGCATGGAGCCTGCTTGGGATACTTTCTCTCCATCTCGGTCTCTGCCCCTCCTCTGCTCATGCTCGCTCTCTCTCTTGCTCTCTCTCTCTCAAAAATAAATAAACATTAAAACAAATTGAACAGATACAAGTGGAAACTTTTGCATAACAATTATCAAAACAAAGTCACATGACAAATGACAACACATTTACCAAAGGATTGATTTTCTTAGTGTAAAACATTTTTAAAATATAAAAAGATGAGCAATCCCCAGTTAAAAATGGGCAAAGAATCTTATTAGCAGAGTGTTCACAGAAAAAATACATACACGTGGTCAACAGCTATATGAAAATGTGACATTTATGGCACAAAAACACTCAGATCAACAGAACAGAATAGAGAACCCAGAAATGGACCCACAAACGTATGGCCAACTAATCTTTGACAAAGCAGGAAAGAATATCCAGTGGGATAAAGACAGTCTCTTCAGCAAGTGGTGCTGGGAAAACTGGACAACGCATGCAGAAAAATGAACCTGGGCCACTTTGTTACACCATACACGAAAATAAATGCAAAATGGATGAAAGACCTCAATGTGAGACAGGAAGCCATCAGAATCCTCAAGGAGAAAGCAGGCAAAAACCTCTTTGATCTTGGCCGCAGCAACTTCTTACTCAACACGTCTCCGGAGGCAAGGGAAACAAAAGCAAAAATGAACTACTGGGACCTGGGACCTCATCGAAATAAAAAGCTTCTGCACAGCGAAGGAAACAATCAGCAAAACTAAAAGGCAACTGACAGAATGGGAGAAGATATTTGCAAATGACATATCAGATCAAGGGTTAGTATCCAAAATCAATAAAGAACTTATCAAACTCAACACACAATAAATAAATAATCCAGTGAAGACATGGGCAAAAGACATGAATAGACACTTCTCCAAAGAAGACATCCAGATGGCCAACCGACACATGAAAAGATGCTCCACATCACTCATCATCAGGGAAATACAAATCAAAACCACAATGAGATACCACCTTACACCTGTCAGAATGGCTAACATGAACAACTCAGGCAACAACAGATGTTGGCGAGGATGTGGAGAAAGAGGATCTCTTTTGCATTGTTGGTGGGAATGCAAGCTGGTGCAGCCACTCTGGAAAACAGTATGGAGGTTCCTCAAAGAACTAAAAATAGAACTACCCTATGACCCAGCACTATTAGGTATTTATCTAAGGGATACAGGTGTGCTGTTTTGAAGAGGCACATGCACCCCCATGTTTATAGCAGCACTATCAACAATAGCCAAAGTATGGAAAGAGCCCAAATGTCCATCGAGGGATGAATGGATAAAGAAGATGTGGTATATATATGTATACAATGGAGTATTACTCGGCAACCAAAA